AGTAGGAGGAGGAATTTAGCCTCCAGGGGAAAAAGGGAGAAAGAAAAAGAGTAACCAGGAGACAGACAGACACAGATGAAGCAGGAAAGTAGGACATACAGAATAAAGGTAAAAGGCCCTGAGGCAAAACGTAAATGAATAGAAACAGTTAAATAAGGTTAAAAGAGCTGGTGGGACAAGCCTAAGCCAAGGCCAGGCACTCATAAGTAATAATAAGTCTCCGTGTCTTTATTCGGGAGCTGGTTGGCGGCCCAAAGGAAAGTTCAACTGCCAGGTGCTGGTGGTGCACGCCTTTAATCACAGTACTTGGGAGGTAAAGGCAGGCAGATCTCTGTGAGATCAAAGCCAGCCTGGTCTACAAAGCAAGTTTCAGGACAGCCAGGGCTACACAAAGAAACCCTGTCTCAAAAACCTCCCAAAAAGATAAGTTCAACTACACCCTTGCTGGTGGAAGTGTGTCACTGGAGGGGAGTGACTTTTCTATTCTCTTTCTGTTCTCTCTTTATTTTCCGTGTATGTGTGTGTGAAAATATGACTAGCTGGTCATGCTGACATGTGCCTTTAATCCAAGCATTTGGGGGCAGGGACAGGTGGATCTCTGTGAGTTCAAGGCCAGCCTGATCTACATACCAAGCTCCAGGACAGCCGACATGGGTTTGGGATGTGATCAGCCAGCTTCCTATTTTTGCTACCACCCTCAATCACCCACCCCATCCCCCACCACCCCATGATGGACTCTATCTTTCTGGAACCATGTGCAAAAATAAACTCTTTTGGTCATGGTGTTCTATCAGAGCAGCAACAGAGTCACAAACTAGGACAGGCATTTTGTCACAGCAAGGAGAGAAGTAAGAAGTACAGAGCCCCTCTTTGTGGTTGATGGTAAATATATCTGCCAAGTTAGGAAGCAAAAAAACTAAATTACAAATTCAGAGTGTGCTGGCTACAGACTAGTCTTTGCGAAGAGGAACCCAACTGAGAAAATTCTTCCATAAGGCATTTTCTGAATAAATGATAGATCAGGGAGGACCAAGCCTATTGTGGGTGGTGCTACCCTTGGGCTGTGGTCCTGGGTTCTATTAGAAAGCAGACTGAACCAGCCAGTGAGCAGCACCCTCCATGGCTTCTGCATCAGCTCCTGCCTCCAGGTTCCTGTCCTGTTTGTGTTCCTGTCCTGACTTCCTTCAGTGATGGACTATGATGTGGAAGTGTGTGGTGCCTGGGCCACGAGCAAATCTACTATATCGAGTGAAAACCTGGAGATTTAAATCAAAGACGTCCGGCCATCGTTTGTGCTAAGAGAAGGTGTGTGTGTGTGTGTGTGTGTGTGTGTGTGTGTGTGTGTGTGTGTGTGTGTTTATTGCAAGGAGGGAGCAGCCTTATATACAGACTTACAGAACAGTGGAGAAACCCCAGGGTGTAAGAGTTTGTGTTTTCATAATTAGAGGTTGATGCCAGTGGGACAAGGCCAGGACTGTAAGCCAGGACTAGGAAACAGGATGCACTTGTGGTTATTGGCTGACAAGAAACTCACAGAGACCCCGTGGGGGCTGGGACCCAACAGAAGTATAAGCCAAATAAAACCTTTCCTCCCCACAAGTTGTTATTGGTCACAGTGATTCACCCCACAAATAGTAATCCTAAAACACAGACCTTGTGAATTAGTGATATTTCCACCTATTCTTCCAGGCATTAATTTCCTCATATTATGTGACCATTATTCTTCAATCTTGGTTGTCAACTGAACTCCTCTGGAATCACCACAAGCACAAGCTGCTGGGCACTTCTGGGAGGCATTATTGTTCAGATTATTTGAAGCATGAGGACCACGCTGAGTGTGCCCCTCTGGTGGCAGCAGCCCTCATGGAAGGACAAGGAAGCTTTGCTGTTGGCCTGCTTGTCCTTACTCTCTCACTGGCAAGTTCATCTACCCTGCTGCTGTAGCTTCCCTTCACTGATGTCATACCCTGCTTCTTCATACCCCGCTTCTTCAGGGTTCCAGCATACACTGAAGACTCCACGGCCAGATTCCAGCTGCTGAACATCCACCCCCGAAAACTGAACAACTACCAGACTTTTAACCCATTCATTCTTCCATCTGAGATGGCCACTGTGGGACTGCCTGACCCATATCTGATAAGTACATCTAGGAAATCCTCTCTCTCTCTCTTTTTAAAACAAACTTCTCTTTTTAATATTAATTTATTTATTATATATATATTGTTCTGCCTGCATGTATCCCTGCAGGCCAGAAGAGAGCACCAGATCTTATTAGGGATGCTTGTGAGCCTTGCTGGGAATTGAACTCAGGACCTCTGAGAGAGCAGTCAGTGCTCTTAACCTCTGAGCCATCTCTCCAGCCTGTAAACATCTCTTAACATATGTATTCATCCTATCAGTTCTGTTCCCTTAAAGAACCCTGGCTAATGTACAGTCAGAATAGAAAGGGACTAAGCTTTGGTGGGACTCACCATACTTGTTTTTGCTGAAGGGCAGTGACCACTGTCCTTAATATTAAGTGTCAACCAGGATTTGGAAGAGAGCTGTTGAAGCAATTCAGCTGGTAACCTTGGAAACCTCCATCTGTCCTGTTCAGTGTCACCATCCCTACTGGGGAAGCTGGACCTCAGGCACACTTTGTGTTTGGTAACACACCGTGTCAGAGCAAATTCTCTTGCCCAGGCTAATTTGTAGTCTAAAAATATGGGTCATAGAGGCTGGAGACAGCGCAGCAGAAGACCTGAGTGTGGTTCCCGGCACCCGCGTTGGGTGGTTTGTAAATGCTCGTAACTCCAGCTCCATGGGAACTAATGACCTCTTCCAGAATCCGTGGGTACCTGCACCCACACATGCACATGTTCACACACACACACACACACACACACACACGGAATTAAAAATATAAAGTAAAGTCAGGTTTTGGTGGCGCACGCCTTTAATCCCAGCACTGGGGAGTCAGAGGCAGGTGGATCTCTGTGAGTTCAAGGCCAGCCTGATCTACAGAGCTAGTGCCAGGATAGGCTCCAAAACTACACAGAAAAACCTTGTCTCAAAAAAACAAAACAAATTTATATATATATATATATATATACACATATATACATATATATATATGTATATGGAGAATATCTGTCTTTGTAAGCCAGGGTTTCTCAACCTCTGGGACCAGACAGTTCCCTGCTGTGAGGACCTATTCTACACACTGCGTGGTTCCTAGCAGCATCCCCTCCTGCTGAGACCAGAAAAACCAGTATCCCCTCACCTGTGCCGGTGAGAGATGTCTCAGCCAGTGCCACGGCACAGGGGAGGGGTAGTAAAGTCACCCCCAGCTGAGAGCCACCAGTATAGATCAATGACAGTTTATGCTTCAAGAGTGCCCACCGCCATCTGTTTGTGGGAGTGTACACTGGCACAAACCTTAGGAGGGTGGTTTCAAAAGTAGGACTTTGGAAAGCAATCATTAAAATATTCAAAATATTTGCATTGGAAGGAAGGGAACGGATCTATTATTTATAGCCCCGAAAGTGTAATAGATTCATTAGGAATAAGGGTTTGACAGGGTATAAGGCTATATTTTCCTCGAGTGATAGACACAGATTCAGCGGCTGCCAGCTCCCTACAATGTCTGAAACAGCCTTATGCATGAGAGAGCTTGCAAATAATTGGTCTAACCAGACGGTGGGCATCGGCCTACCTAGCTTAGTCTGTACATGGTTCCTCAGACTGAATGACTGGTCCAAGCTAATCAAATGTATGGCATTGGGAGACAGGGTCAGGGAGAGGGCAATTATATCCTGCAGATGGAGCCCTCCTGAATAGGCTTGTGCCCTTGTAAAAGAGATCTCCAGGGGATCCTCTGATTATCTGCTCTGTCAAAACATAGATGCTGGGCTGGAGAGATGGCTCAGGAGTTAAGAACACTAGTTGGTCTTCCAGAGGTCCTGAGTGCAATTCCCAGCAACCACATGGTGGCTCACAACCATCTGTAATGAGATCTGATGCCCTCTTCCCTCCTGCAGGCAGACATGCAGACAGATCACTGTATACATAATAAATAGAAATTTTCTTTTGATTTTTCCAGACAGGGTTTCACTGTGACTATGGAGGCTGTTCCAGAACTAGCTCTTGTAGACCAGGCTAGTCTCAAACTCACAGAGATCTGCCTGCTTCTGCCTCCTGAGTGCTGGGATTAAAGGCATGCACCACAACTGCCTGACGCTAAATAAATTTAAAAAAATAAACAAAAAACACAGATGCCACCACTCATGACCAACACTGTTTATCAGACCCATGAGCACTTGACTCTGTACTTCCAAGACTGCAGAACCCTGATCAATAAATCCTGGTGTTCACTAATTACAGCTACAGTTTAAAGTATTTGACTTCTTAAGTTACAATGGCTGTGTGTGTGTTCCCATACCAAGACAACTTTCAGGAAGTGGTTGCTCTCTCTTTCAACCACACAGGTGGGTCTCAGAGATCAAACTCAGGTGGTCAGGCTGGCTCAATCTAGGACATTTTGCTGCAACAGCCCACATTGACTAGTGCTTTCCTGGGGAATGTTAATCAAGATGAGAGAGTGAAGCAGGCAAAAGGATTCTTCTCCTCTGGTTTCAAGACCATAAGGATGTGACCGCTGTCCAGCACACATGCTCCCGCCTAAGGGACAGTGAGCAACGTGGGGAAGAGAGAGACCCAGAATCTCTGTGATGTTTGTGGGAATCCAGCTCGACATGGAGATAGCCATCTGGGATAAAAACCCAATGTAGGTGACACTAGCATACTATCCCAAACCATACAGGACTGTTGGGGAATATTATTTTATATGTATAATAATATTATTATTTTATTTATAATATTTTTATTATTTTAAGATGTATGACTTTTGTTTATGTTGCATTTGTTTAACTCCATGAAGCTGTGTTACTTTGCCTGCCTAAGACAACCTGGTGGTCATAATAAAGAGCTAAACGGTCAATAGTGAGGCAGGAGCAAGGGCAGGCACAGCAGGCAGGCAGGCAGGCAGAGAATAAATACAAGGAGAAATGAGGAGAGGAGCAACAAGAGAACAAGGGGAGGAAAGAGACAGGAACCAGCCATCCAGTCACCCAACCAGCCACAGCATCAGAGTGAAGTAAGATATACAGCACTAAGAAAAGGAAAAAGCCCAGAGGCAAAAGGCAGATGGGATAATTTAAGTTAGGAAAAGCTGGCAAGAAACAAGCCAAGCTAAAGTCGGGCGTTCCTAACTAAGAATAACTTCTGTGTGTCATGTATTTGGGATCGGGGTGGTGGTCCCTCCAAAAGACCAAAAAGAGTTTAAAAAAAAAGTTTCAAGCATCAGAAGACAGTCAGCAGAGCATCCCGTACTGGCCTCCAATGCCCCGACATTAGATGAGTCAGTCATTTCTGAGAAAGCGCAAGGACAAATGGTGGTAGCCCATTTTTTAATCCAAATTAGCACCTAAAGTCCCTACTTCACACTTCAGCGTGCAGAAAACCTCCCCATCTTACTGCTTCCCCAAACACCGCCCCTCACAGACAAACATCACTGCCCTGTTTCTCCCTGTGGCTTCTCGGCAGCACCCACCTCCCTTATTTTGCCCGTGTTGTATATGCATGCATGAATACCTTCATGTAAGCACACATGTGCGTGTGTGCATATGAGTTTGCAGGGGAGACGTCAACAGTTGCTCTTCAACTCTCTTTTTTTTTTTTTTTTTTTTTTTGAGACAGCATCTCCCTGAACTTGGAACTCACAGATGCGGTTGAACTAGCTGACCACCAAGCTACAGGGATTCGCTTCTGTGCTGTGCTGGGGATGCAGACGCAGATCTCCACGCTTGTACTGTAGAGGTAAGGAAGTAACAACTGTTTTCCTAGCCACAGAGTTCTGGTCATCTCTACGACTACCTTCAACCAGAATGTTCTCCTGGTTTTCTCCTGTGAGCCAGGAGTTTTCCTCCATTCAACACAGCTATTTCCAATTGGACTTACTTGCTTTGTGACGACAGTGTGATTCTAGCATGCCTTAGCACAGCCAGGGCAAATTCGAGTAACAACCAGGAACATCAGTGAGATTTTACTTGTTAATGTCCCAAGGAAAGAGTCATTCTGCAAACCAGATGCATGCAAATTCACGTGTGGGCCCATTTTGTAAATCTTTATGTTGTTTCTAAAGACGGTCAGCAGATACGGCTATCTCTTGGTATAGAATAGATAGTGTGAGGTCAACCGGACACAGCCAAGACTCACCTGAGAAGAGAAACTACACTGTGGTTGGTCTGCCGGCATGCCACTGGGGTGTGACCTTTGTTTTTGTTTTTGTTTTCAGCACTAGGTTTCTCTGTGTAGCTCTGGCTGCCCTGGAACTTACTCTGTAGACCAGGCTGGCTGCAAATTCAGAGTCTTGAATGCTGGGACTAAAGGCATGTGCCACCACTGCCCGTGGGATTATCTTCATTAAGTTAACTGATAGGTGAAGACTCAGCCCATTGTGAACTATACCATCCCCTTGGCAGAGTGTCCTGAACGAGCTAAGAGGGGAGAGGTAGAGCTGGAAGTGATGTGATTGGCTGTTTGAAACCCTGCCTCGACTTCTCCCCATGACGCCAGAATAACCTGGAATCACAAACTGAAATTAACCCCTCTCACCCCTAAATCGCTTTAAGGTCAAGATACTTTATTACAGCAGGAGAACCGAAATTAGAAAAGACAGCCATCCCAGCAGTCTGTATTTGTGGAAGACCTTGTCCATCCCAAGGATCCAACACTCATTACCACCACACTTGCCTCCCACCACAACTCAGCCAGGCAGAGGAGACATTGCCATTCCTATTTCCAGGTGAGAAAATGAAGACACCATGAGGCTAAATGACTTCTTAATGTGATTCAGGAGTCTGGAAGGAGAGGAGCAACTCTCAAATTCAATCACTCATGAGCTGTGTCATGAGTGATTTGATGCTAATGGCTAAGTACTGAAGCCTGAGAATGATTTATCTTTTTTGTAAATAATATATTATCCCTATAACAACCTAATCCTTGCCAACATTTAATATGCTAACCAAGTGGGAGAGAAAGGAATAGCATTATAGCTGGCATACTGGAAAAACATCCTGGGAGGGTAATATATGTTAGAGGTCCAATGACAGGCACTGTAGCGGAGAAAAGGAGAAAACATGAAAAATCAATAGATTAGTCAGTGCCCAGAATTGCTTCCGCTCCGAGATGTGATGACTCACTCAAAGCAAACACTGAACTGGTGTCATTCAAGATAAACACTGGATAAAGCTGCCTGACCATTCCATCTGTCTTATTAACGATCGTTGACATCCAAAAGTGGTAAAGGGCACCATGAAAATTAAAAAATTTAAAAATAAAAAAGGGCAGGCACAAGGATAAAACTCTAGGACAATAGATCACATAGAAATGTCATTGAGCAATTTACCCTAAGCATAAGAAAATTTGTACACATTCCCTTGAGTAATCCAGGGCACTTAATTTACCCTAATCATAAGAGAATTTGCACATACTCCCTTGTTTCTAAAAAGGGCAAGAGTAGGGGGAGAAGGTAAGAGAAGGAAAGGGAAGGGATGAATGTAAAAATATTCGTTTGCCAAGAGATGGCTCAGTGGTTAAGAAAACTGGCTGCTCTCCCACAGGACACAATTTGATTTTCAGCACCCACATGGCAGCTCACAACCGTCTATAACTTCAGATCTAGGGAATTTGACTACGTTTTCTGGCCTCTGTGGACACTTCATGCATGTGCTGAACAGATCTATAACCAGGCCAAACACCCCTACACATAACATTTTATATATGTATATTAATAAATTTTCAAAAGTGGGAAATTCTAAATTTGGCCCTAGGATACATTTTAACGGTGAACTAAATATATCTGGGTTTCCACCCCTCCCACAATAGATCCTGAAACAGATTCGAATTTGTATAGCTTGTTTGGGAGGTAAAGGAAGCCCATCCAAGAAAACAAGGTGGTATAGTATGGAGAGGCAGTCAGTAAGAGTATTCAGTGGTGCTGCACACCTTTAATCCCAGCACTAGGGAAACTCTGGCAGCAGGATCTCTGCCAGTTTGAGGCCAGCCTGGTCTACAGAGTGAGTTCCAGGACAGCCAGGGCTGCACAGAGAAACCCTGTCTCAAAAAACAAAAACACAAAACAAACAAAAAAGTGACTCCCTTATCCAAAGGCTATGCAAGTTTTCAAGACAGAAGAGCAACCAATAGTGGGCGTTGGTGGTGCACACCTTTGATCCCAGAACTCTGGTGGCAGAGGCAGGTGGATCTCTGTGAGTGGTCTACAGAGTGAATTCCAGGCTAGCCAAGGCCACATAGTGAGAGCCTATCTCACAACAAAATCCAAACAAGCAAACAAAAAACTGTTGAAGCCCACCTTCAGTGATGTACTTCTTCCAAGGCCACACCTCCTAAAGGTCCCAAACAGCGCCACCCACCAGGCACCGAGTGTTCAAACATTGAGCCTATGGAGGACACCACATCATCCAAAAAGCTTCTCGACATCATGGAGACTGTGTTGGTTTGAATGAGAATGACCCTATAGACTCATATATTTGAATATCAGTCACCATCTGGTGGAGCTGTTTGGGAAGCCTGGGTGGGGTAGTGTGGCTTTGTTATGGAAGGTGTGTCACTGGGGGTGTGCTTTAAGGCTTCAAAAGTCCACACCATCCCCAGTTAGCTCTCTCTGTCTCATGCTTGTGGATCAGATGTGAGTTCTCAGCTACTGCTCCAGCGCTATGCCTGCCTGCTGCCATGCTCCCCACCGTGATGGTCAATGGACTCTAACCCCTTGAAACCATAAGCAAGCCCAAGCCCCCAATAAATTCTCTTTATAAGTTGCCTTGGCCATGGTGTCTCTTCACAGCAATAGAAAAATAACTGAAACAGAGACCAATCCCCAACTGGTCAAAATGCAGAGCACTGACTGTGGAGTGTTCATCTGAATCGATAAATCTGCAACACAACCCTACTCCTGAGATCCAGGAAACAGTGGAAGAAGAAGTAGAAATATTGTAAGAGCCAGAGCAGCAAGACATCAGCTACAAGATAGTGTCCTTTAAAAAGAGAAATTAAGATTTATTTTACCTTATGAGTGTTTTGCCTGTATTTGTGTCTATGTGTCATATGGGTGCCTGTTGTCCAAAGAGTTCAGGAATGGGTACAGGATCTCTTGGAGTTACAGATGGTTGTGAGTTTCCATAAGTGCTGAGAATCAAACTTGGGTCTTCTGGAAGCAGCCAGCACTCTTAACCACTGAGCCATCTCCCCAGCCCTCATTCCTGGGTTTCTACTTTTCCCCTTTCATTCAGACCAGGCTGTGAGATGGTGCCACTCACACTCACCCTCAGTGAATCCTCTCTGGAAATACCTATTTGACACAGATGTATTCACCGATCTCCTAGGTGATTCTAAACCCAGTCAAACAGACAATCAAGACCAAGCCGCATATATGAACATGGAGCTTCCCCCAAAATGTGCAAGGGCAACACTGACCTGTGAAATCGGCTGTGCAGCTGTTGGTGAGATGGAAACATTCCATCCTGCAGGAAGCTCCTTTAGCAGGAAGGTAAACAACTCAAACAGCTTCAGGAAGTCCCTGAAGCAGAAGAGATTCACCAGACCTCCTCCCTGCCAGAGTCAGCAATAAACACTGAGTGTCCGGGAGAGTCTCCCTCAGTTGCATGGAAGACCCTTAACCAGTTGCCTGGAAAGAGCAGAAACCAGCCCAGCTGCCTGGAAGAGGATTAGACCAACTGAGGCACCTGGAAAAGAACACTCTCTAACCTGCTGAACTCCCTGCAGGCTGAACAGTGTATTCCAGGTTCCCAACTTTATGAGCTATCAGCCTTGCTGGGGTGGGCTTTGGTGATGCAGCTGTCTTTAAGTCATTTCTGCTGCTGTAAGTAATCCCTCACCCATTTTTATGGAGGTAACCCCAATAAAATTCAGGGCTCACCAAGTTGAACTTTGGTCTGCTGTGGGATCCCTCTCTGGGGTGAACAAATGTATGTGAGGCATCTCCCCAGGAAAGTCTGGTCATATAATGAATGTCAAGAATTTGTGAAGGACTGTAGTCACTTTTAACATCTAGTGCTTGTTTTTATGAATTAAAACGACTATGTTTGTTTCTTAAGGGAAAAATATTATAGCACAAACCCCCAGATATCTAAATGTCTGTGATCCACCACTTAAACAACAATTTCTTTCTGATTCATAAAATGTAAAAGAGTCCCTCAGTTTCTAACATCTGAGGTTCCCAGGGAGCCTGGCTCCCTATGTTGCTGGTAATTCTTTTCTCCACAGGGCTGTTATTAGGAGCTGTTTGCCAGGACACCTACAAGCAAAGATTAGGCTCATAAACAGCCTACATCTAAATTGCCATTGGGTGTTCTTAGATGCACATGTAGCCTGCTGGGTATACATTTTCCAACACGATTGCTAGAACTATCTTTAGTCTCTACCTCCCAGCTTGTGTTCATGAAAATAAGCATATCCACACGGCAGTCATTTCAAGGGCAACTCTGACCTTATGAAACACATAATTCTAGTCTGTTGATAGATTCCTAGCTGAGGGGACAATGAGGGGCATTATTGTATGTAGGTCTTACACATCTCATTAATTCATTTTACTCATACTTACAGAGCAGTTATTTTCAAGGGGGAAAGGGCTAGAGATAACTGTGCCTCTGCATCTGCATTGGTCAAAGAGTCAGTGTACAGACAAATCTGTGTACTGTGTGCTGTGTGCCCTTCTATAGAATGGTAATAAACATCTTTGCTATGCTTCACATGATGCTACACACCAGTGACTAAGAATGTTCCAGGAGCCAGGAGTGGTGGTACACATCTTTTATCCCAGCACTCAGGAGGCAGATCTCTGTGAGTTCAAGGCCAGACTAGCCTACAGAGTGAGTTCCAGGACAGTCAGGGTTATGTAGACTCTTTCTCAAAAGAAAAAAAGAAGAGAGAGAAAAAGAAAAAAAAGAATGTTCCAAAATCTCAGACTGAGGAGAAAATGTTTGAAACCAAAATCAGAACACTAGACTTCATTAGTGTTTATTTATTTATAGTCTTTCTTGTTCTGGAAAAAGAATTAAAATAGCTTATGTGTTCTTATTTAAGGATATCTAATGCATTGCCAGATAGTGTAAATTATAAATAGGAGAGAAGGAAGTAAAATAAATCAAGGATGAGGCTAGAGATAGGGCCAGAGACAAAACTAACTCAGACACAGATATGATCAATTCCCCTGTGCACACAGCCTTGGGTGGTTGCTGGTGTAATAGGATTATTGGGCTCAGCCTAGAGCCCCTCAATGCTCACACTGTACACTAGAGTGTTCCTTGTGACCTGAGTGAGAGCTTTCTCTGCAGAAGCACACATACCCAGCTAGGTGTCCCCAAAGTGCCTGCCAGTCCATGTCCCCAAGGAAAAGGCCTCAGCTAGTGATGGATGGGAGATGAATACCCACGTCACTCAGCTTCATGCTGTCATGACAAACTGCCTGAGACAAATTGTTGGGAGAAGCACAGGTGTGTTTTGGTTCCTGGTGTCAGAGGATCTTGTCCATGGTCACTTGGCCCTGGTGCTTTGGGTGGGGACACAGGGTGAGAGAGGCAACTGATGGTGACAGGAAAAGCAGAAAGAGACAGGAAGTGACTGGGGTCCCCAATGTTTGATAGGGGATGTCCTTCTGTATATATGTTTCTCTTATTGATTGATGAATAAAACACTGATTGGCCAGTAGCCAGGCAGGAAGTATAGGCAGGGCTACCAGATGGGGAGAATTCTGGGTAGAGGAGAGAGAGGCCGGCAGGGAGATGCCATGCTTCTGAAAGAGTAACGTGCCAGTTTACGGGTAAGCCATAGCCTCGTGGCAATACATAGTTTAATAGAAGACATGGGTTATTAATTAAGAGAGAGCTAGCCAATAAGAAGTCTGAGTGGTCAGTCAAGCAGTCTTTATTTAATATAAACCTCTGTGTACTTATTTGGGACTAAGGGCAGTGGGACCAGGCAGAAAAGTCCGACTACAAATGTTTCTCCCAATGACCCAATTTCCTCCCATCCGACCCCATTTCCTTTTTTTTTTTTGGTTTTGCAAGACAGGGTTTCTCTGTATTGTTTTGGAGGCTGTCCTGGAACTCACGCTGTAGACCAGGCCGGCCTCGAACTCACAGAGATCCGCCTGCCTCTGCCTCCCTAGTGCTGGGATTAAAGGCGTGCGCCACCAATGCCCAGCCCGACCCCATTTCCTAAAGGCTCTGCCACCTCCCAATGGCAGCACAGTGTGAGGACCAAGCCTTTAGCACATGGCCTTCAGAGAACACTGCAGACACAAACTAAGGCACGCCTAGCTCCCTGTCTCCTTTGCAGTGGCACTTAGGCAGGAGCTGTATTAGCAGCTTTCAGAGGTACCATAACCAAGGCAACCTTATAAAAGAAAGCATTTAATTGGGCTATCAGTATCGCTTACAGATTCAGAGTCGTCGTCCGTTGACACCACAGGGAGCATGGTGGCACACATGGCCCGGGGCCGTAGACCAGAGCCTTACATGCTGATCCACAGGCAGTGGAGGGAGAGAGACACACCGGGCCAGGTGGGGGCTTTCAAGCATGTGTTCAGTGACAAACTTCCTCTGACAAGGACATGCCTTCTAATCCTTTTCAAACAGTGCCATCCCCTGGTGAGCAAGCATTTTAATGCAGGAGCCTATGGAAACCATTTTTATTCAAACTGCAACACCTCCTTTTTCCACGTCAACCATGGCATGCGGTTTTCTGACATTTGCACCTCTGCTTTAGCCAAGGACGTCTCTGTCTTGTGCCACCAAGTATCACCTTTCTTACCAACCACAGTTGCTTTACTGGATGTCAGGACACCCATGGTATCAAAGCCGCTGGTGTTCCATGGCATGTTCAGTTTTGAGAACCACCTCCTATCCACTTTGGGCTCCCCCATGCTGTCAAATTGCTAAAATAATGTCTATAAGAGGACAAAAAAAAAAAGAAAAAAGTTTTCATTAGCCAGACAATGGTAGCACACGCCTTTAATCCCAGCACTCAGGAGGCAGAGACAGGTGGATCTCTGTGAGTTTGAGGCTGGCCTGGTCTACAAAGTGAGTTCCAGGGCAGCCAGGGCTACACAGAGAAACCCTGTCTTGAAAAACTAAAACAGGAAAATGCTTTCACTAATAGCACTCAGCCCAGAGGAACTGACCCAGAGAATGAACTTCGGTGAAGACTCTCCCACCATCCTCAGTAATCCCCCTCCCCAGCTAGGGTATAACTAACTGCTTGAGCACAAGCCAGCCTGGCACATGCCAGTGGTTGAACTCCACTCCCAGCACAAGATGTGCCAAAAGAAATCACTGATCCAAACTCCACCCAAATAAGCCTTGTTTGAAGTTAAACTTGTCTAGCCGACCTTGACTTCCCTTTTGATGACTATCTCCTGGGATGCCCCAGGGCCCTCTGGCAAACAGGATTTATGAAAAATGCATGGGCTATCTTGGAATAGAGGATTATTCATTAAAAACTCTGTTGAATATTAAAGACCATCCACCAAGATACTTATTTCTAATGGATATGAGTGTGGCTCCATGGCAGAAGATGCCTAAGGCCCTGGGAAGCTGTCTGCAAACACAGAGCCAGTTCTTTCTCAGGTCTTCTCTCTGGCAACATTTAGGGAAATGTTCCAGAAATGTTAGCGTCCATGAAGCCCCTCTGACCTCACCTTTATGAAATATGCATCTGGTTACTAAGGTGATCTAAGACCATCCATGGCTCCCTATTTCCCTTAAGATAGAACTAGAACTTTTTGTCTTTTTGTTTTGTTTTGTTTGAGACAGAGCTTCTCTGTGTAGCTTTGGAGCCTGGCCAGGAACTCTCTCTGTAGATCACCCTGGCCTTGAACTCAGAGATCTGCCTGCCTCTGCCTCCTGAGTACTGGGGTTAAAGGCGTGCACCACCACCGCCAGACAAAACTAGGGCTTCTTGATAGTTCTGTTGGCCCCCAGCTGGCACCGCTTGCCAGCCCCATCTCTTGTTCCTATGTCCTTCACTCAACTCCTCCAGCTTTGAGGTTTCCTTTTTATTACTCAAAAGTACCACACTGTTCCCTCCACTTCAAAGCCTTTGGCTATGTGGTCCCTTCTGCCTAGAGTACCCCTCCTGGGGCTCTTTTTCCAATGACTGACTCCTGATTCAAATGTCAACTCAAACGTCATCGTCTCTGAGACATTTTCCCAGCCACTGTATCTGAAGTACAGGTCCCACTATTTGCTAATCAAATTTGTGACTAACAAACTACCCTGCTTTTTCATGGAATGAATTTGAATCTTCAGCTGTTATGGTTTGTCTCCTGTCTACTTTCACCAGCAATCAGCCGGTGAGAACCCGGGCTTCCAGCTGTTGCACTTAAAAATCCAGCATCCAGGCCTGGAGCGATGGCTCAGGGTTAAGAGCACTGACTGCTCTTCCAGAGGACTTGAGTTCAATTCCCAGCAACTACATCATGGCTCACAACCATCTGTAAGGAAGCCTGGTGTCCTCTTCTGGCCTGCAGACATACATGCAGGCAGAACACTGTATACATAATTAAATAAATCTTGAAAAAGAAAAAAAGCCACCATCCAGCAGATCGCGCCGCACACAGTGCTAGCAAATGAATAGATATAAGTAAATACTTTTTGTTTCGAGTAGCAGACAGGCAGATACTTTTGGTCCATCCAAAACTGATAGTATATTACTAAATTGTAAGCTAAAAAACAGGGCTGGTGGGCCAGGTGGTGGTGGCACATGCCTTTAATTCTAGCACTCGGGAGGCAGAGACAGGTGGATCTCTGTGAGTTCAAGGCCAGCCTGATCTACAGACTGAGTTCCAGGACAGGCTCCAAAGTTACACAGAGAAACCCTGTCTCAAAAAACCAAAATGAAACAAGCAGGGCTGGCAGACAA